TGTTATCCCAGTATTTACAAGTTTTAGTCTGATTCTGTGCTCTGAGTGTGTGCTCTAATTTTGTTATGATACACAGAGAGTGAACATGCCTACTCAGAATTTGTGATTCTGAGGACACACAAAGGAAAGATGCATGTTCAGGACTATGCTAAATCCTGTCAATAGAGAAAAATAAAACCAGAAGGGGTCACAGTCTAGTCGTGGGAGATAATTACATTCATTCAGGTGAAAGAAATGCTCTTAAAGCTGTGTGACTGAATGAGATTACTAGTGAATATGTCCAAGTAGAGAGAAGGGGCATGAGGACCATTGAGCCGTGGGGAGATGATGATGGGAGAACAGGGGACCCTGTCAGGCATAGGGTCTCCTTCTTTCTCCAGTGAATATTGATCGAGGCAATTGCCTGATGCTAGAACATTTGTGACAGTGACCTTTGAGGATGTAGCTGTGGAATTCAACCAGGAGGAATGGACTTTGCTAGTTTAAACTCAGAGAAATCTATACAGAGATGTGGTGCTGGGGAACTATGAGAATCTGTTTGCAGTAGGTAAGATGGTACCATTTCTTCATTTAAATTTTTTCTGGAACAAATATTTCTTAAGTGACTCTATTACAGGCAATCTGCTGATTAATGGGAATGCCCCGGTAGACAGAGAAGACATTGTTTCTGCTTTTATAGACCTTACTCTCAAGCGGCTTTCCCATGAAAATGAAGATCTGTTCATTGTACTAGTTTTATTTTCTCTATGGATAAAAGGCTTAAGACCTCAAAAATGTATATACAAGTTTGAGCCTGGATTTCAAGGTAAATACCAGCAACCCTTTTTAAGTATATTGAGAGAGAGAGTATGTGTTTGCTTTTGAAAGTTTTCGTTTCATTTGGAAGTTTACTGGCATGGTAGAGTTACATGAAAATTTTGTTGTTTCTCAAGTTATACCTAACAGTATTTGATATCCCTGAAGAGCAGAATCTTGGCCCGTGATTTATGAAAGTATTTGATATCCCTTTCCATGTTCTTAACATGAAGGATCTTTCAATGAGAGGAAGACATCAACTATGCACACCTGGTCTGATCTTTCAGGTGGGACAAAGAGAAGTGCTAAAGACAGTGGGAAAAAGTTCTCCAAAGTGAGGGAAAAGGCATATGTGATTCTTTTTTTTTTAATCTTTATTGTTAAAAGTATTACATATGTCCCCTTTTTTCCCCTATTGACCTCTTCTAGCCCGCCCCTGACCCCAGCCCCAGGCCTTCAACACCCTATTGTCTGTGTCCATGGATTATGCATATATGCATACAAGTTCTTGGTTGATCTCTTCACATACACACACACACCCTCCCCTGCCTTCCCTCTGAGATTTGACCGTCTGTTCCATCCTTCTTTGTCTCTGAATCTATTTTGTTCATCAGTTTATTTTGTTCACTGGATTCCACTTTTGAGTGAGATCATATTATACTTATCTTTCTCTGACTGGCTTATTTCACTTAACATAATATTCTCCAGGTCCATCCATGCTGTTGCAAATGGTAAGAGTTCTTACTTTTTTACAGCTGCACCGTATTCCATTGTGTAAATGTACCACAACTTTTTTATCCACTCATCTGTTGATAGACACTTAGGCTGTTTCCAAATCTTATCTATTGTAAATTGGGCTGCTATGAACATAGGGGTACATATATCCTTTCTGATTGGTGTTTCTGGTCTTAGGATATATTCCTATAAGTGAGGTCTCCGGGTCAAATGGGCATTCCATGTTTAATTTTTTGAGGAAACTCCATATTGTTTTCCACAGTGGCTGCACCAGTCTGCATTCCTGTCCTCTTTCTACCCAAAAATGGGTTGGCTAATTGTTTCCTCAGATGTCGTTTAACATGTCCCTGGGTTTCTCCTCTTCCCCTTTTCCATAAACTGTTAATTAGGTTAAAGGATTTGTCAGATTGTGTTTTTGGGGGGCAAAAATATTCTATAGTTGTTGCTGTTTCTTGTTGCATCATGTCAGAACTCACATGATATCCAGATGCCTCTTTTGTGATGTTATGATTTGTCAGTTGATTCTGGTGTCAGCTCAATCCTTCATTTATAAAGTTCTTCAGCTTATTTATGAAATCTTAAATTATCCCCTAGTTAATAAGATCTTTATTAATTGCAAAAGGGAAAAGGGATAACCCCATCAATCTTTGAGAGGCTCCTTGCTTTCTGGTATAAGGTGTTCCAGGATCATCGTGAACATCTCATGTTTTACATTGGACTCAGCTATTTCCAAAATGAGTCCTGGTTTCTTTCATAGGCAAATGGCATTTAGAAGCATTTTGACACTAGAGGGGCTCATTGCTCTTGAGCTGTTACTGACTCTAGGCATTTTTTCATGGTTCAGTTTAGGAAAAAGTTTTTTAAAAAATAAATAATAAATATATACTATATTCCCAATTCCTAATTGTTCTTGGATAGGGAGATAAAATATTAAGAGCAAACTGTGTGTATGTATATGTGCCTGTGTGTGTGGTTACTCTGCAGCTAGTGTGAGGAAGTTGCAGGTCTGTAACTGTTGACTGTCAGGCCTAGACTCTCATGGCTTCTTTCTTTTTCTCTAACTCTGCTTGCTCAGAACTCTGCCAGGTGAGGAGGGAGACACAGAAAGGGAAGAATGGGTGCAGGATTGCTGACATCTTGGTCACAGGTATGTGGGAAATTATACTCTTTCAAAAAAAAAAACAAAACCCAAAACATTGCTGTCCCCAAAGAACACATCTCTTGCCCATGACCCACAGCTTCCCATTCCTACTGGGCCGGCCTCAGGCTTCCCCAGTTCTCTGGGCTTCTTAGAATGGGAGAGCAAATGCCTTACGAAAGGCTTCTATTACTACAACATTTGTTAATGTTTTTCCAGATAGTCCTCCAGATTGAGTATGTTTTATATACTGTGGGGTGCTATGAAGGAAAAGAGAGATTTTTCACTAGAGGAAACATTTGTTCATTTTCCAAATATGTTTTCTCATCCTGTTGTACAGTCAGTCTGTACTAGATCTTGAATAAGATTAGAAGAGTCCTCAGAATCTAAGTGTGGAAATATCAAGTCAACTGTGTGTTAGAAAAGCTGGTCAAACCATGAGCTTGAATGAGATGGTCCAGGGAGTGAGAGTGAGAGAGGAAAGTTCCAAGAACTGAGCTCTGGGGCAGACCATGAGAGGCTTCCAAAGCATGTCTGAGCTTCCTATGCACTGAGTCTCCTTCCCCAGTCCTGGAAGCCTCTCTCACCATTCTTCTGGCTCAGTGGATGAAGAATGGTTGGCTAAGGCAGAATGTGTGTGATGTTTCAGGACTTGGTGACCTTTGAGGAAGTGGCGGTGGACTTCTCCCAGGAGGAGTGGGCACTCCTGAACTCTGCTCAGAAAATCCTGTACAGAGATGTGATGATGGAGAACTTTAGGAACCTGGCCTCCGTGGGTAAGGTTGGCCTCATTTATTCATCTCTACATGAAGCAAATAGTTTTTCATATATCATGTTCCAGGATCTGTGAAAAGAATAACAAGTTCTGGCAGGTGTGGCTCAGTTGCTTGAGTGTCCTCCCATGCACCAAAGGTTGCCAGTTTGATTCCTGGGTTTTAGGTTTGATCCCTGGTAAGAGGCTGTTGATCAATGTTTCACTTTCACGTCAATGTTTCTCTCTCTCTCCCTCTCTCTTCCTCTCTCTCTAAAACTCAACAAAAATATCTATTTTAAAATAAGAAAAGAATAACAATATGTGGTGAACCCCAAATGGGTGGTTCCTGCCCTTATGGGGCAGTCTCATGGCTTCCCATGAAAATGCACTGATTTCATTTTCTCTATCATTAAAAGATGAGGTAATTTGCATTGTATATCTGATCTTGGCCTTGGATTTCCAGGGTCAGTCCCATAAGAGACATGGAATATGGTGTTTGTTTTGGAGCCCTGTGAAAGCTCTCTGATCTGATCTGTTTTGCTGCTCCTAAAGTTGCACTTGCAACTTCAGACCAGAGTATTGGAATCAGTTTTATGGAAAGATTTCTTGCCTCCTTCTCAGTGCTCCAAAATCACGTCTTTTCCATTAGCAGGGTATCATCTCTGCAAATACAGTCTGATCACTGAGGTGGAGCAGTAAGAACTGAGGCTAGGGAAGAAAAGAATTCTCCAAGGGGCCTGTTCAGGTGAGCCCCAAGCAGAAGGGAGTCATTGTGTGAAGCAGCCATAACTGGTGGTGCATTTGGGAATGTCAGTGTGGGAAAAGGACGCTGAAGCCATTTTATGGGCTTTCCTTCTTTCAACATATTTCCATTCATTTCTGTTCTGATTTGGTCTCAGAAAGACTTTTAATTCCTCTTTCTTTTAAAAAAAAATACATATTTTTTATGTATTTCAGAGAGGAAGGGAAAGGGAGAGAGAGATAGAAACTAATGATGATAAGAAAGAATCATTGATCAGCTGCCTCCTGCACACCCACACTGGGGATTGAGCCCCCAACACAGGCATATGCCATGAGAACCTTGACCTCCTGGTTCATAGGTCTATACTCAACCATTGAGCCATGCTAGCCGGGCTTAATTTCTCTTTCAATTTCACATTTCCTTGAATAATTTCTGTTCAGTCCTCCCTACTTTGCTTTCCAGGTAATACCCTCTCTTATTGTCTCAAACCTCCAGAATCCTTTCTAAGTAAAATACCTCCCATTTCCATTGCTTGTTCCTGTCAGTTACTCTGGTCATTGGTTTCATCTTCTCTTTCACATTTTTATTTCTATATTTAGTGTTATTATTTGAAAACAAATCCACAGAGTACTTACCTTATTTTTTTTTTCATCCCTACTTTTTCTCCCAATAGTTATAAAAATTTTCCTCCTTCAGTTTCAGGCTGGGCTACTCAACTTAAATCAAAACATGCAATTCCTATGCAGAATGTTCCTGAAGAAAAAACTTCTAATGGCATAAAAATGGTAAGATTTACTAGGGATGGCTTTTTATATTACGAGAAGTCTGTAAATTTCAGTAAATTAAAACAGCAGCAGCACCCATACAAGGAGAGACAGTTGAAGCAAGTGGCAGAGAGCTGTCTCAGGGAAGACTATGAATCTCACAGAATTTGAGAAATCTCCAATCCTACCTCAACACTTGCTGCCTCACAGTAAGCAGCTTCAAAGAGAATACCAAAGAATAAACATTTATTTAAATGTGATTTGTTTTTAATTATTTAATACATAAGTCATTTATTCCTTACTCACCATTACAGAAACTCTGTATTTAGGATGCCCTTTGATTGGAATGAATGCAGTGAGGCTTTGGAAGCATTCTGCCCATTCAAATTGAAGGAATTACTAGGGCAAAATCATACATATGCCATAGAATTGGTAAAAATGTCAGTCATAATAATGGACTTCTTATATGTGGCCGAATCCACATGGAAACGAATTCTCAAGTGTAATGAAAGTAAGAAAGCTTTAGGTCACCTCTTATTCCTTATTCAACAGGCACCAACTCACCCTGGTGAGAAACCTTTGGAATTTGATCACTATGGAAAATTCTTCAGAAAGAACTGTCACCTTATTTGTACAAGATATTGCAAGGGACAGAAATGCTACAAATATAAAGAATACAGGAAAGATTTTGACCATTTCTTAACTCTTAGGAGTCATATGAGTACTCACGCTAAAGACAACATTTCTGAATTTATTGACTGTAGCAGAGTTTTCAATCTAGAGTCATCCTATAGGGGACACTCAAGAACTCTCACAGGAGAGAAATCTTCTGAGTGTAATCAATGTCTTCTGTCCTTCAGATTACACTCTTCCTTTTCAGGACATATGCAAAACCCTATTGGAGAGAAACTCTGCGAATGCAGTGACTATGGACAAAGACCTTCCCTTAGGGTGCACAAAAACTCGTGTACTGAGAAGGGAAGCTCAAAATGTGATAAACATGGGAAGGTTTTTACTGGCCCCTTGTCCCTTCAGAAATGTGGGAGACTTCACACTGCAGAGAAACCTTATGAATGTAGTGACTGTGGGAAAATATTCATTTTTCACTCTTCCCTTAAGAAACATGTGAGATCACACACTGGAGAGAAGCCTTATGAATGTAATCATTGTGGAAAATTCTTCAGCCAGAGCTCTCATCTTAATGTGCACAAAAGAACTCACACTGGAGAGAAACCCTATGACTGTAAGGAATGTGGCAAGGCTTTCACTGTTCCTTTCTCCCTCCAAAAACATATGAGAACCCACACTGGAGAGAAGCCCTATGAATGCAGCGACTGTGGGAAAGCCTTTATTGATCAGTCATCCCTTAAGAAACATCGACGCTCTCACACTGGAGAGAAACCTTATGAGTGTGATCAATGTGGAAAATCCTTCAGCTCGGGCTCTTATCTTATTGTGCACAAGAGAATGCACACTGGAGAGAAAACCTATGAATGTAGAGAATGTGGGAAGGCCTTTAGGAATTCCTCTTGCCTGCGGGTACATGTGAGAACTCACACAGGAGAAAAGCCCTATAAATGTACTCACTGTGGAAAAGCATTCAGCACCAGCACTAACCTTATAATGCACAAGCGAATACATACTGAGCAAAAACTTTAAGAATGAAATGACTACAGGCTAGCTTTAAGTGGTCCTTCACACCTCATTCCTCACTCTAGAGCTCACACTGGAGAGAAACCTCATTGTGACCAATGGTGAAAGCCTTTAGGCACAACTTTCAACTTACCTTATACAGGGAGCTACCTTGTAAGTGTTACAGTTCTGTGGTTGTCTTTATCAGTGAGTGTTTCATCCTTAAAGTTTGTCAACTCATTAATCGAGTATTAAATGTAATGTAGCATTCTAAATTTCCCTTGATTTATGTCACAAAAGTTTTGATAGATAATGTTTTCATTGTAATTGAGTACCAGTTCTCATCAAGATGTCTTGGATCTATACAAGATTCTTGGATTTAGAGATGAGTTTTAATGTGAAAACTCTGCATATTTTAATTATCTTTTAGTTATAAATTTCTAATTTAATTGCATTGTGCACTCAATATATGGTCTTCATGATATAGATTCTAAATGACACATATTCAGATAGAAAATTGTTGGAGATTTGCTTTGTGGCCTAATGTGTCAGATAGAACCAGTTGCTGTCCCGTTTCATTGCTCCCTTCCTTCCTTAAAGTAACAGAACTACAATTGTGTTCAAGTTGGCAGTGTGGACAGGTTGATAAGGAATCATCTAGCTTTCCTTGTAGCTATGAGTGCCTATGAGCCCATAGTCCTGGCCCATGAGAAAGAGTGAGAGCTGCTCCTGGATTTTAAAGAAACCTATGGAAATGGGAGCATCTCATCTGGTATTTTCTCTTAACATTTTCTATTTATCTTATCTCTTCTTCTTTCTTAGGAAATAAACCAAAGGGATAGCAGTCATAAGCTACTGGTTATACATACAATAGTATTTGGCTGTACCAACCCTGGGTTGTTTATTTCTGGACTTCATGTAACATGAAAAAATAATAATAAGCTCCAAACTGGATTAAACCACTCTTGTGGGAAGATGCTGTTACAATGGATTTCACTCTCAATTGATAGATCTCATATGTGGCCAGGTTTTGTGAATCCTTCAAGTATAGTTGAAAACAATCTATATTCTGTAATCATCAGGTATAATAGATTTATCTGATAGATAAATCTTACTCTGTTTATTAAATCTGTATCGTTACAAACCTTATCTCCTGGTCAACAATGGTTGCTGGTACCATTATGCCAATAGGAATTCCCAGTTTGGGGTATAGCAAAGAAGGAAAATTTAGTATAAAACAGTTCCATTGTGAAACAGCAGCTATGGAATACCTTACTACTGTTATACCTCAATTATGAAGCAGCAGGACAGCATGGCTATGAAGAGGCTCTGGGGCTAGGTGGCCCTGGGGCAAGGCCCTGCTTTGGCTAGGCAGCTCTGTCCTGCTCTGTTCTACCTCACTCAGCCCCTGTGCTGGTATGCTCAGCTCTGCTCCAGTGAGACACTTTCCAAGATTTAGCTCCAGCAAGTCTTGTCATCAGGGGAACGGGCAAGTGTCCTCCTTCCAGAGGCAGAGGGGAGTTGACTTACATAGACAGAAGTCCCTGTCCCTGGTCCTTGATTGATCTGCCCTTATGCAAAGGAGGACTCCAAATCCTTGCAGTTTGACTGGTTTAAAAAGCACTGTCCTGACTCGTCACAAGGGAGCTATTCTGATTGGTCAGTGAAGATGTTGATGAATATGGCTGCACAGCTCCTATTGGATGGGAAAACCTCAGTCCTATTGGTTGGAATTCCTCTGTGAGGACTGGCTTGCAGAAACACAGTGCAGGAAGGCAGTCCAGTGCAGAGGCAGGCAGCTTAATGTAGGCTTCTCCCTAAAGTGTGGTTTGTGTGAGAGAACTCTGTATAGAAATGGCTGCTAGGCTCTGTTTAAAAAAATCAAGCCCAGTTAAGCCACCAGGAGCCCTTCTTAGGAGGTATCTTCTTTCTTAGGGTCCACACAGCTTACCCTCAAGTAGTTCACCAAAAAATGTATGTCTTTATCTAGAGAGGGAGCCAACACGTAAAATGCTAAAATGGATAAATCTACTTTAGTCCTGGGCCAGTTGTGGGATAGGCACAGAATCAGCAAGGAAGTGTGCACTGCTGTGGATTGGCTGTGGGCAACAGATTGGAAAGTGCATGCATAGATAAGTGGAAGCTCCTGGGGTTCAACGGTGCCTGGCTATTCTCTCTTTTGTTTAGTAGTGGAAATAGCCATGTGGAAGTTAATCTAAAGTTCCAACAGACAGACAGGAATGTGGGCAGCCTTTTGTCAGAGCTGGCCCACAGCTATTAACAGGCTTACTATTTTGTCTTTTTCTCTCATTCTCTGGTGTTGTACTTTAATTTAGAGCATCTCAATTTTTTTCTTGGTTTCAGAGTTAGGAATTTCTTCCTGAGGGATGTGTTAAATGTTACAAGGACCCTGGACCCTCAGAATCAGGTTGCAAAAAAAAAAATCAAGTGAATGAGAGAGGTCCCTATTTCTAGAAAGAGACATTGCAGTGACAATTTCATTAGTGACATTGCTACTGTAAAATCAAGCATTTTGAAAATATCCCTTAGTATTTCTTGGATACATGATGTCACTGCTGACCTCAACGAAAACAAATGTGATGGAGACAGAAAGATGCCAGATGAGTTGAAGAGAGTGGCAATGGAAAGTATAGACCTTTTTTTTTTTAATCCACCAAGTAAATTTGAAGAACTAAGAGGCTTTATTGAGTGATAAAGGAATCAGCCAGCATCCCATCCAACAACCAGAAGGGTTGTACAAGTGGAGGCTTTATTAGGAAAAAGGGTGGGGCAAATGAGTCATTAGCAAAAAGGGGGGGAGGTATTTTAAGCCAAGCCATCTTCTTTTGGGAGAAGGGAACTGCAAAGTCTAACTATCAAGGTCTTAACACAAGTGACCCCATTTTAGGCCTGTGGTTTTCTCATTAATAGCCAAAATATCCAAAAATTTGGAACAATACCCAAAGAAAAATGTTTCATTTTCATTGAAAGATAGGGGAATATAGAAGATACTTATGACATTAGACATAATATTGCATGCAAACTTTGGGAAAAAACTGGATAAGGAAGGAAAAAGTGATAGTGTAAATTCCCTGGAACGTTCAGAAGAGATGGAATAATTATACAAATAATTATTGAATGACAGTGGTAGCTAATGTTGTGATGGCATAGTTTCCAATGAGAGCATATATCCAGTGAGGCCCTATAACTGAGAACTGAACATCCTGGGTGAGATTCAGCCAAGCATCAGCTTGTCTAACTGCCAATTCGCGAAGCAGCAACTTCTTCTCATTCTATACAATTACTTTATTTACACTGCCACCCATGCAGACTATGGACACCAGATCAATATAATTGACCTCTGAGATAATAGGTCCTGTAGACCCCTCAACTCAAAATTAAACTGACATTTTATCCTCCCTAAAATGTTGCTTTTCCTTTTATTACCATTGCTGTAAAAGCTACACCATTAACTCTGGCACCCATACAGTTATTTCCAGGGGTTCTCAATCAGGCTGAGTTTCCCCCTGCAGGACAATTGGCAATGTCTGGAGATGTTTCTGGTTGTAACAGTACAGAGTTGGCATCTAGTGGGTAGTCCACAGGAACCTCTTAAAAATCTCACAGAACATGAGACAACTACTCACAAATAATTTTATAAACCAGAATGTCAATATTGTCATGGATTAGAAATGCTAATAGACTCTTGAGAACTAATGTTAAAATTTTTATCTAAAAAATCTCAGCCATTGTCTTTATTTTATAATGATACTAGAGGCCCGGTGCACAAAAATTTGTGCACTCGGGGGTGGGAGGGTCTCTCAGCCCAGCCTGTGCCCTCTCGCAGTCTGAGACCCCTCAGGGGATGACCACCTGCTGGCTTAGGCCTGTTCCCCAGGGGATTGGGCCTAAGCTGGCAATCAGACATCCCTCTGGCAGCCTGGCAGCCCTTGGGGGATGTCCACTTGCCAGCGGGGAGCAGACCTAAGCTGCAGTCGGACATCCTTAGCGCTGCTGAGGAGACAGGAGAGGCTCCCACCACCACTGCTGTACTGGAGCTCTGCTCAGCCACTGCTGTATGTGGCTGAGCAGAGCTCCCCCATGTGGGAGCGCACTGACCACCAGAGGGCAGCTCCTGCATTGAGCGTCTGCCCCCTGGTGGTCAGTGTGTGTCATAGTGACCAGTCATTCCCAGTCTTTCTGCTGTTAGGGACAGTTTGCATATTACCCTTTTACTATATAGGATAGAGGCCTGGTGCACGGGTGGGGGCCAGCTGGTTTGCCCTGAAGGGTGTCCTGGATCAGGGTGGGGGTCCCGCTGGGGTGCCTGGCCAGCCTGGGTGAGGGGATGATGGCTGTTTGCAGCTGGTCACACCCCCTTCAGGGTGGGGGTCCCCACTGGGGTGCCTGGCCAGCCTGGATGAGGGGCTGATGGCTGTTTTCAGGCTAGCCACACCCCCTTTAGGGTGGGGGTCCCCACTGGGGTGCCTGGCCAGTCTGGGTGAGGGGCTGAGGGCCGTTTTCAGGCTGGCCAGCAACTGAAGCACCCAGCCTCTCCTTTTTTTATTTATTTTTTTATTCTGGGATTTATTTACCTTCTATAATTGAAACACTGTTGCCGTCACTGGCGCTCCCAGCTCTGAGGCCTCGGCCGGCTGAAAGCAGGTATCTAGGGTTTGTTTAGCTTCTATAATTGAAACATTGTTGCTTTCGGGCTCAGAGCCGGGCTGCGGCAGGCCAGAAACCTTGGCTTCCTCCATCACTGGAGCAAGCAAGCCTCATGTTCTCTTCAGCTGCGTGGCTGCCGGCCGCCATCTTTGTTGAAAGTTAATTTGCATATCGCCCTGATTAGCCAATGGGAAGCATAGCAGAGGTATGCTTAATTACCCTTTTTGTCTTTTATTAGATAGGATTAAAAATATCTGAAAGAAATCTCACAGTCTTGCTCTGTTATTTTGTTCTATTGCATCTTTTTTATTGTGGTTAAGTATACATAACATACTAGTAAAATATACTATTCTAACAATTTTTAGGCATACAGTTCTGTTGATTTGACATCAAGAACATCCAGCCCAGCTAGTGAGGTTCAGTGGTTGAGTGTTGACCCATGAACCAGGAGGTTGCTGGTTTGATTCCCAGTCAGGACACATGGCCCAGCTTGTGGGCTTGATTCCCAGTAGAAGGCGTGCAGGAGACAGCCTATCAATGTTTCTATCTCTCCCTTTCTCTCTCTGAACTTAGTAAAAACATACTTTTTTAAAAAAAGAACATTCACTTTGTTGTACAACCATCACCACCATCCATCTCCAGAGTTTTTTCATCTTCCCAATTGAAACTCTACCCATTAAACATGAGCTCCCCAATTCCTTCCTTCCTTCTAATCTTGCCAATCACCACTCTATTTCTTATCTCTGTGAATTTTACTACCATTGGTACCTCATGTAAGTGGAATTATACAATATTTGTTGTTTTGGGACTGTCCTATTTTACTTAGCATATTTTCATCCACATTATACATGTGTAAGAATTTCCTTCATTTTTAAGGCTGAGTAGTATTCTGTTTTATGTCCATACCACATTTTGTTTATCCATTCACCCACTGATAGGTACTTGGGTTGTTTACACATTTTATTTATTGTCAGTATTGGTGCTGTAAACATGAGTGTTCATAGAAATATGTTTTGATTCCCTGCCTTATATTACTTTATTTGTTTCCATAGCTTCTTTCACAATTGAACTGTATTTATTGATTCACCTCTTTATTACTTTTTACTCCACTGGAGAGTAAGCTATATGACAACAGAGACTACTTCACATACATGTTCCTAGTCCCTAAAACATTGTAGGTTCTCGGTAAATATTTATTGTATAAAATGAATGGATCAGTCTTCTAAAAAGTCTATGTTTTATAATTACAATTAACCTTTGAACAATGCAGGGGTTATAGGCACCAACCCTCTGTACAGTCAAAAATCTGTGGATGCTCAAGTTCCCTATATAAAATGGTATAGATCAGTGCATATAGTCAGCTCTTCACACCCACAGACTCCTAACCAAAGACTGAAAACAGTACAGGTATTAATCTGTATATAAATGGACACCCATAGTTCAAACCCGTGTTGTTCAAGGACACTGATTTTTTACCCAAACATCACTCACTATGAAGCAGCTCCACTGATAGCTAAATTTTAGATAACTGGACTTGAGTAATAAATACAGAACTTGTGGGGTTTGCATAAA